CATTGACTTCCGTTTGTTACGGATACAGTACGAACGACTTCTTCCTGTGGAGCACACTGAAAACCGGTCTTTCTGTGCATATTGTAACGTTTTTAGTTCGTTACATGTATTTTTTATATATGATTTATATGATGTCTGGCGCATCGTCATCGGATTCCATATCGTTCAGGCCTGATAATTTATTTGGCACGCTTGGCGTAATTTTTACGTTCCCCAGTCGCCAACCCTGTTATCGTTTGACACAACCCTGTTATCGCTCTGAGGAGGCGCTGTCAACATCGCTTCTGTCAACTCTCTCCGTGCTTAACCTGACTTTGTTTTGCCGCTCTGTTGTATCCCGGTTTTAGAAATGGTGATTATTTAAATCTTGCTGTATAATTTGAATCAGCTGCTATTTCAAAGCAACAGGTAAAGATGAAATATTTTCCTTTTAGATTCGATATTATTACTGCATATTTTTAGGGTAGAGTTTTGGATGTCCCAACTTAACTTGTATTTGTATTTTGCTGGCACGTTGGCGTCCCTTTTCTTTTGTCCTCCAGAATGTTACATGGAAGAAAGGACAGTTTCTTTGTTTATTATTGAGCCCTCGGAAGTAATTCGAGGTAGGTTTATTTTGTTTATTAGACCTTGTTTGGTTTTAAACAAGAGTTTCATATTTTTAGGGTCCAAGGTACGGACTATTTACAAGGTACGGGCATTATCCAAGGTCCTAGTAGTATCCAAGGTACGGGTAGTGTTCCCCTGTACCGTTATCTTATGGACGTACATTATCTTATGGACGTACATTATCTTATGGACGGACTGTGTCCAAGGTACGGGTAGTGTTCCCTTGTACCATTATCCTATGTACGGATGTCCTGTGGACGAGTGTCCCCAGTAGGAATGATTTTTCTTGCATATAAAGTGCCCCAGCGTGGATGTAGCTTGAGCCCCATGTTGCTTCGTTCCCATCCATAAGCTAGTTAGTAGTTACGGCTGAGTACAGAGATGCGAGACCACCTCACGCTGTTACTGTTTGAAGCAAGGATAGCTTCAAGAACAGCTAAGTTTAGATTTAAGTTTTAGCTTACATTTAACATTTAACACATTTTCAGTCTTAAACAATAGCGTACATCTTAAGTAATATCGGACAGACTATGTTTAGTGGTTAGATTGTTAAGAACATTCATGTCGATTTAATATTTAAAATATGATTTAGATCTTAGGTTTCATTACATTACGTCTTGTAATGGTATTACTTTCATAGATATTTAGTACAACTCTTAACACCATTTTTTTTTGACATATAACTACTATATATATTTATTAGAACTCTACAATGTCATGTACCAGGAAAGAACATCATGAATAAATATAGTCATTAGTTTTAAGTAATATACAACTGTGTTTTCTTTCTCTGTACATGCCTGGCGCCCAATATCTGTATTTTTTTGCTTATTGTTATTGATTGGCTTTCTCTCTAGTGAAATACCTTATCCACGACTGCTCTCTGATGAAAAGCTGCCGTTCGCAGTGGTAATGTTTATAAACAAAACGTTACATTAAATACATAAATTTAGATGGACTGAAAACGACACCTCTGAGGAATGCTAAAAATTCTCCCCTTAGCAGTTTTGTATTGTGAGGTGTGAATTTTACAATTCTTTGGGGTATTGTTTGGCTGTGAATGTGGAATTATGTAAACATTTTATTAATTAGTATAGTTTAATAAAGTTCCTTTTGTATTACAAATATTTTGATTATCCCTTTAATTATCCTGTGGAAGTATGTGGTATGAGCGATGCCTGCGAGTGATCGAGTAATGAAACAAGTCAAACACCGCGAATACTATTCTCAGTTCAACTAATTCTTTTGTAGATGATCCTAACCTAACATTCCAATTCAGAAAAAAATTAACCACCTTTTTGAAATTACAGACATTCTTGTAAACAATAAAAAATGTGACATCGAATTTGACAATGACAAAATCATATTTTTGCTGGTATTTTACTTGTAGCTTTCCCTGGTAATCCCAGTAATTTGACGGTAGATTTTTGCAAATAACTTTTAGATGCCTATTCCAAATAAAAAAAGATTCTAGACGACAGTACAACTTAACCGCCTCTTCAAAAAGTCTCATACCATTTTTGCATAAAATCATCTGGGGAGATAATATTTGACCTTTTCAAAATTTACAGTAGCAATTTTAATATTTTAAATAGAGCACTCGGTATAATTTTACATTTTTGGAAACAACTTTTATTTCTCGTAATTTTTCTACTAACTGGTCAGTGTATTTATGTTTGAGTTTAATTCCATTGACCTGATCTCCACTGTATTTATTGTGAACATTAGTACATATATTTGATATCAATTAAACTTTTAGTTACGTAATCGAGGGCGTAATTTTTAAATCCATTGTTGTCAACCCTGGACATATTTGGCGCCGGACTGACTAACTGGAATTTAAATTTCGCGCTGGAGATTCAGGTGGTAGCTCTGCTGTGTAAAATGTCAAGTTGCCACTTTTGGTTGAATTTATATCCTGACATTGTCATTCGTTTTGACACTTTAGTTTTGTATTACGAGTTTTTGGTTTAAATAAATAGTGTTCTGATACTTTAAGCTCAAAAACGTTTACTAGCAGACCTTACGGTCGAACATTGTTCTTTTTAGAACCTCTTTTAGTGCGAAGTGTACAAGATAGCTTAATAGCCGTAAAAAACTCATCACAACTTTATTAGAATATTTTGAACGGGAAAGCGGTTAATGTCAATTTAATGCTGTTAAGAAGGTGAGTTTTGTTGATGTAAATAATAACGGTTTATCTATTTATCATTTATTTTTGTTTCCTAAAATATTTTTATTAAAAGAAAACATGTAAAAGTGGGCATCATTGGTGTCTATGAATGTTGACAAATTTTAGACTGGCGACAATATAAATATGATATTTTTTAATATGATTTTATATTTTTTATATTACTGTTTGAGTAGCGAAATACCAATACCATAAATGTATCTCTTATTTCAACGGTATGATTTACACTCGAAAAAAAAGGAACAATCAAAATATTTTTCTCGTAAATATACGCAGATTTGTATTTGCGTCCTTTAATTCTTTACCATAATCGATAAAATATAGGTTTCTCTTCCTATTCCCATTCCCACATATCCTTCGGTCCCACTGGGTATTTCAGCAATTCATCATGGTTTTGCGGAAAAAAATCTGCAAAATATAGCCATCCGTTTTATTTCGGAACGTGAAAGGAGTTCATAAATTTGATTTTTTGCGCTTTAAATGATTGAAAAGTGTTTTTAATTGCTATTGTTTACGGAGAAAATGTATCTGTAAAAAAAGTGCGAGTCGGTCTCGTCCCCCGAGGATTCTGTACAAATTTGTAGGTACATATAAATAGACTTTAAATAAAGACTACAGTATGTCCCGGATTGTCTTTACAGACGGAAATTTTTTTTTAATTATTGACATTTTTAGAAAAATACATTCTTCATTAAAATGTTTGCTCGTTCTAAAATGGTTAATCGCGTTTATGCTTTTCCAATATTATTTCCATACCGTTTTAAAGAAATTTAAAACAAAACATGAAAATATGGTTGAATTTTTTCCTAGTTCTAAAAATCAAGTTATTGAGGGTTTTGTTGATAATATTGATAGTTCTTAATTAAGCATTAACGCCAGGTAAAAAATTTATGTGTAGGAAATTACATGTATAAACTTGAGGTCTATGACGAATCAATTTTGGAATAAATATAGAATTAATGAAAGAATACCAATCTCAATCAATATGTCGATGTAAAGCTTCAAAATGAATCGCGTGCATCAAGATATACAGGATGGCCCGAACTGTGTTCTGGAAACTTTGGCAGTATATTCTGCAGATAAAATAAGTAAAAGAGTTTGTATAAATGTATGTTCTAAAATGCTTAGTTTCGGAGATACAGGGTGTAGAAGTTTCTCTTTTATTTCGATTTTTTCCAAATAATTTCTGAAATAACGTAAATATTTGGATGAAAGTTGGTGTTTGGGATTTTTTGACATGGGAAATTTAAATTTGATGTCAATATAACTCTTATTTGTAGGTGGCGCCACCTACATATGTTTTGACTGTTTTGAAGAGTAATAACTTTTCATCCGTACCTGTATAAAACTACTGAGTGAAAAAATATACATTTCCGTGACTTTTCACGTAAAAAATATCTCTTGGTAAAAATCGCTATCAGCAGATATTTAAATAAGAAACTAGTATTTTACTAGTTTCTTATTTAAAAAAAATTAAATTCTAAATAAATTTCATAAATTTATCTGCGAAAAAATGATAAAACAGTTTCTGTTGAACTTTTGGCACAAAAATATTTCAAATTTATGATTTCGGCTTAACTATTTAGTCAACATGTTTATGTCAATGATGACAGGTATTCATAATTTCGATTCCAAATATTTCGAGAACCATTACTCGTAGCGATTTTTACCAAGAGACTTTTTTTACGTAAAAAACGACGAACATATTTTTTACTCAGTAGTTTTATACAGGTATGAACGAAAAGTTATTGCTCTTCAAACCAGTTAAACAATATCCAGGTGGCGCCCTCTACAAGTTAGGTGTCATATTGACATCAAAATCTAAAAGACTCCCAGATACCAATTTTTATCGAAATATTTATGTTACTTCATAAATTATTTGGAGAAAGTCGAAATCAAAATGAAATTTCTACACCCTGTATCTCTGAAACTAACCATTTTGGGACATACACTTATACGAACTTTTTTACTTATTTTTATCTGCAGAATATGCTGCCGAAGTTTCCGGAATACAATTCGGACCATCTTGTATATGACAATCAAAATATAAAAAGAATTCTTAAAATTACTTGAAGTAGTTTACTTTAAAAATATTACTCACATTTTTATCATAATTTAATAACATATGATTCACATTTTATTTTATATTCTATTTGAAAGTCTCGTACAGTTATTGAAATTGTTTCTCTCTTGTTTTCAGAGGAAGATTACGACGCTTTTTGTCTAGCCTACATGTTCACTTATCGTGATTTCGAAATGGGCACCCTGGGACTGGCATGGACTGGCGATTTAAAAAATGCAGGCGGAGTTTGCGAGAAAAACGGGGTAAGAATGCCTTTGTTACATTTTACCTTTATCTTTTTATATTTTTTAGACTCTATCTCTCTCTATCTTCTTTATTCTATAACAATTCTTTTTGGTGATACGAAACAAATATTATATTTTGCATATTATACAGTATGTCTCCGGATTGTCTTTACAAGAGGAAAAACTTTTTTATTATTGACATTTTGAGAAAACTGCATTCTTCCTAAACATTTTTGCTTGTTCTAAAATGGTTAAACCCCGTTTATACTTTTCGAGATTTTCATACTGTTTTAGAGAAAATTAAAAGCATGAAAATATAGTTGAATTTCTGAAGAAATTTTCTTCAAATCAAAACGCGTTTCTGTAGTAACATAATTCCGATTTCATTCTTTGCTAGATTATTATTGACAGCTTTTGAATTAAAGTCATATATTTTGCTGTTTTAAAATATTAAAGAAGCACACAATTTATTTAGTTCAATGCTAAGAAAAGGGTGATAATAGTTATCGGAAAATGTGATACTTATGGTGCCCGGTGGTGTAGATGTACTGCTCTCGTCTACCAATCTAAAGGTTGTGGGTTCGAATCCTATAGTCGGAATTTCATCGGCCGACTATTTTTAATAAAATAAAAATAGTTTGGGTACCTAGGTCGACTCAGCCTTAAATGAGTACTTGGAATTCACAATCCTGGGCCCGAATTCTATAACTTAGAAAACGCTAAGCGCTTTTAGACGCTCAGCGTATATGACGTTAATTTTTGCTGAGCGCGCACTTAACTAACGATTTGGGTATTCTCGTCTGACGCGCTTAACGTCTTTACTGATTGCGCTGAGCGCTTTGAAAACGGTTGCCTTAAAGGATCCTTTTGCTTGTCGAACTGTCAGTGAAAATCGAAAAAATTGTGATTTCGTGCGTTATCTTGCTCTTTAGTGAAAACTACTACTTGTTCTATAAATTCCTAAATAAGTAATGGACAAATTACAAATTGGTAGCTATAAATATTGTTCAAAACATCGAAAATGCTGAGAAGCGTCTTCAACGTTTCCCTCGTATGATAAGAATAATAACATATCCATAGAAAAATAGGTTGACATAACTCAACTATAGGTTATAAAATTCACGTAACATTGACATTTTTCATTGTTTTAGTCACATTTGACTATTAGATACCTGCGAAATTACGATGCTGTCAATATGTGCTCAACGCGTATCAAGAAAACGATTCGCACAGCAACGAGAATACCAAAATCGACTGCTGGACGTTCCGCTTATCGCATACTTTCGCTCACCGCTTTGAAAGCGTAACGTTTTTATGTCAAAGTTACAGAATTCGGGCCCTGAGGTAATAATAGGCGGTTGAAGCGTAGTGCTAGCCACATTACCTTCCTTGTATACCGCACGGCTCTAGCATGGCAAGGTGTACCTTGCTACTCCCAAGGCGTTAAACGCTATATACGGGAGCTATTATTATATTAAATGTGATGCTTTAACAACATCAATAAATATGATGTTAATTAAAATTAATTATAACGATCTATAAAAGAATACAGTACAGAGGGGAGTAAGACAGGGATGTGTGCTGTCTCCTTCTCCTTATTTAATGTTTTTTCTGAGGCGATTTTTCGGGAAGCTTTCTCTTCAACAGACTGCGGTTTAAAGTCAACGGCGAAGTCATTAACTACAATAGATTTGCCGATGACACAGTCCTTATTGTCGATTCTGATACTGGTCTCCAGAATTTAGTGGAATGACTTGAAGGCTCCTGTAAGAAATACGGGATGAAGATCAATTCTTCTAAAACTAAAGTCATGGTATTTGGAAAGAACCAAAATGTATCAATTCCTATTAAAATAGAGGGCAATACCTTAGAACAGGTCTACAAGTTCAAATATTTGGGGTCCTGGATAGTTAACACCTTGAACAACGACGTGGAAATAAAAACCAGAATAGAACAAGCGAGAATTGCATTTTTAAAAATGAAGAACGTCTTCCAGAACCCCAGATTGGACCTTGAGTTGAGAACTAGGCTCGTTAAGTGTTATGTTTGGTCAATCCTATTATACGGAGCAGAAACATGGACACTGAAAGTTCAAGAGATGAATCGCCTCGAATCGTTCGAAACATGGATATATCGAAGAATGCTTAAAATTCCATGGACAGCCCATATCACAAATACCGAAGTCTACAACAGAATAGGCAGCGAAAGAGAATTGCTCAATATAATAAAAATAATAAAAACATCATACTTAGGGCATATATTGAGAAATGAAAAATATCACGTCTTACAATTGATAGTTAAGGGTAAGATTGAAGGAAAGAGAGGTCTCGGCAGGAAGAAACTATCTTGGTTGAGAAACATCAGAAAATGGACTCACCTAACATTTGAAGAACTCATAAGGAAAGCCGAGAATCGGGAAGATTTTGCCAATGTGATCGCCAACCTCCACGAAAGAGACAGGGAGAGAGAAGGAAGAAGAATAAAAGAATGAAATCGAAATTATATTACCATAGAAACGCCTTTTAACTTTTAGGACTTAAAAATTCAACTACATTTTCATGTATTTTTTTTAATTTTCTCTAAAACGCCATGGAAATTTGGAAAAGTATAAACGGGATTAACTATTTTAGAACAAGCAAAATTTTTTATGAAGAATTATGCATTTTTCTCAAAATGTCAATAATAAAAAAGGTTTTTCTCTTGTAAAGACAATCCGGGGACATAGTATAGAAGATAAACATATTAAGTAATAGTTAAATTTCTCCTCTCTCAGCATTATAGAGGCAGCATGAAATCACTGAACACAGGCATAGTGACGCTATTAAACTATGGAAAACATGTCCCTCCAGCTGTCAGCCACGTAACGCTCGCGCACGAAATTGGACATAACTTTGGATCGCCGGTAAGTTTCAATGTAAAGTTGCTTCAATTAGATCCAGTCCATTTAAGTTTAATGCTCTAGTTTTAGAGTAATCCCTCATTTAACAATGTATGTATTTTAATGTTTAGAATGTATAGTTTTACGTTTATTTGCTGATAAACTTCATACTTCTATACCGCGTCTCGAAAGTGGCTCACCCTTATAATTTTTTTTATTTTTTGCAAACAAAAAACGAAATTTGGTTTGTTAGTACATGACATAAATTAGGATTAATTGACGTATTCAATTGTTTTTGGTCACTTGTCTCACCGGAAATGATTATAATTTTTGATTTTTACATGGCACCCTCGGTATATTTTTATTTTATTCGATAGAAAATGACACGCTGAGTGATATCATATGTCAACTTTTGACATTTTCATCGATTTTAAATTACAATCTAGAGTGCCACGGTTGTGTTAAAAACACTAATTTTTAAACAAGGAGCCTTGGAAAATAGATTTGATCGTCTAATGTTTTTCGTGTCTTATCCTGGCCGGTTAAAAGATGCCCAAACCGTATTTTGAATCATATCTCAATTTTTTCAAAAGGAACGAGGGTGGAGCAGGTTTGGAAAAAGCATTTTTTATGAACAATTTGATTCCACACACTTGGTATTTCGAGTCAAATTGTCGTTATGAACCGCATGTTACAATTTCAAATAAACCATAATATGTTTGTAGTAACAAATAAACCATAATATGGTTGACATATGATATATGTCATTCTATTCAAAGTGTCATTTTCTATCGAATAAAGTAAAAATATACCGAGGGTGCCATTTAAAAACCAAAAGTTTTAGTAATTTCCGGTGACACAGGAAGTGACCAGAAACAATTGAATACCGTCAATCAATTCTAATTTATGTCATAGATTACCATACAAAATCTCGTTTTTTAACTGAAAAAATAAAAAAGTTACAGGGGGTGAGCAACTTTCGAGACGCACCCGGTATAGAAAATACTTGAATCGAAATGTAAGCAAAAATCGATTTGATAACAACTGTCAAATTAATTGATCTCGATCATTCCACATCATTCGGCCAGTCAGTCATACGTACCACAAGATTAACAAAAAAGTCACGTCATATCACTTAATGAAATAAGGGTGGCTGTAACGACGTCCCGTAATCCTGCTGTTAAAACATAACAATTGATTTTTATATACAGAGAAGACCAGGCTACTAGTAACATAGCAAGTTGCCGGACGAATTTACGTTTACCCGTTTTGCGTTTGTACTCGAGATTCAGCCGGCTAGTCGGCTGGTCAGGCAGTACGCAGTTGCAGTTGTGCTTGGACGGGTCGGTCGTGACAGACTAGGAATACGACGCGAGGAGTGCCGAGTATTTATTATTTTCATTTTAAATGTTTACCTTCACTTAAGGTAACATTTAAAATAGTGATGGGCAAAACTGTTATTTTTAGATAACAGTTGAAACTGTTATAGTTATTTATAAAAAACAGCTTAAAATAACAGCTTAAAAATAACAGGTTTCTTTATTTTATTGCTAAATATCTGAAAGAATATGAGGCGGTCACCGCCAGGCGTATTAACGCAGTTGCAACAATGACGTGCTCGGTGGTAGTATTTCCAGGGTGTCATAACATTTCTAAATATCGATTGTTATCTAAAATACCTCTCTAAAAACGGGGGTTGTTTACAAATAAGCGCTGTTTACAAATTGCGATATAAAAAGCCAAAATGCCGCCACTCGTCTATATCTATAAATTCCGATCTACCTACGCCCTACCCCTCGATCCGCGTAGATTCTGAATTGCGTAGCAGTGTACAGGGTGCATCTCACTCGACGGGCGAGAAGCTCTTCGTTATGATTTTACCATTTGCGGTAAAAAATAGCAATATAAGAAAATGTGTAGTATATTCTTCATAAGTAAACCAACTACACACTAGAGTTCGAATTAATTTTACACTTAAACTAGCATGTACAGTTTGACAAATATAGGAAGAGACTTGGGGATATCGCGCACACGATAGAGAGAGAACGCATTCGGCGGAAGAGATGCAGTTACGCTACGAAAAATCTGATTGAAGCAAATTTGTGGGATGTCCACTGCGCATCGGGGGGGCGTCTCTTATTTTATATTTCTCACGTCTCTAGCTATACTTGTTAAGTTGTACCCGCGACTTCGTTCGCATCGAATTATTAATTTGTAATGGTGATGATAAAGCAAAGCAAGAATTTCCATTAACATACAAACTGGATAAAATTTTCTCACATTTGCCAAAAATATGCTTTAAACGTCGAGCAGTTTAAGCAGAATCGTGGTTAATCAATTACTCAACTTTTGGAACACCCTGTATTGTTTTTAAAAAAATTTCAAAATATGTATAAAAAAAATAAATTATGCGTGTCAATCGTTTTTCCGAAAGACTAACCGTTTTTTAAATAATAAATATTGTAATATTTGAGGGGCGTTTTCACCCTCTTGGAATTTGAGATTGAGAAACCCCTCCTTATCGCACCTCTACACCCCACAGTCAATCCGTTTACCAAAAAATCAGCTTTAAACGTCAAGCAGTTTAAGCAGAATAGTGATTACTCAGTGGTCATATTTTATGGAACACCCTGTATATATTTTGTAAAAATCTCAAAATATGTAAAACAACAAAATAAAATATACGTGTTTAAGAGTTTTTTCGAAAAACTCACCAGTTTTTAAATAAAAAATATTCTAATATTTGAGGGTGGTTTCACCCCCTTAGAATTTGAGTTTCGAAAAATCCCTTCTTATCGCACCTCTACACCCATATGTATCTAAAACAACTGATGCGTTATTCTCCAACCTGTTTCAAACCTCCGATTATCTCGAACGCCGTTCTGTTATGCTCGTAACAGGTAAAAAAACAACATAGCTAAAACAACTGATGCGTTATTCTCCAACCCGTTGCGAGCCTCCATCGACAATCGACCGATGCAGCAGCGCTCCTTTCCCACTCCTGTTATCTCGACAGTCAGGCGTTATGCCCGCAACTGTTTCAAAAAGCTATTTTATATCCTATTATTTTTAAGCTGTTGTCAGCCCAACACGACGCGCCGCGCCGTAGCGCATACCCCACTCCGTTGTCCGTTGTATCTCGCCGCCTGTATCGATGGTTGTCGAAATAATAGGTTTTCCATCCATACTAGTTGTTTTTTGGAATTGCTTCGAGCAGCATCGAATTTCGTGGCGGTGCAAAGCGCCGACTTCGTTTCACGAACACTCGATCTCTGCGTGTCGTTATTTTATATCTGTTATTTTTTAAAAGCAGTAACGGTTGCGTTATTTCTAAATAATTGTTATAAAATAACAGATACTTAAATAACAACCCATCACTAATTTAAAATAAAAATATTTAAATCTTTATTATTTGAGTGTGTTTACAAGCCAAAACTAAAAATAAATAAATTCTCTAAACCCCCCAAAAAAATATTACTCTAAATAAAAAAAAGTTATAACAAGTGTTGAAAAAGACCACCTTCTTGTGCTAGACAGAAGCCTAGGCGGTCGTAAAATCCCCGTCTGACATTGGCTAACATATTAGGGCTAATAGTTTGGAAAGCCTCTCGTATGTTTACTTGAAGCTCATCCAGATTATTAGCCCTATTATGACCATACGCTTTGGGTTTTACAAAACTCCACAAAAAGAAATCATTGGGAGAAAGATCTGGTGATCTAGCGGGCCACAAAATAGTTCCATATCCACTAATTAAACGGTTAAACACTTGCTTTAACTCCTGTTCTTCATTAATCAACACATCAGGCTTCTTGTGTTTTTGTGGGGACACGCACCCATGTGTTTCAAAATTATTAATAACTCTTGATATAGTAGGTAAAGATAGAATTGCCCTGTTTACAAAAGTTTGTGGAAAAATTGTTTGTATATCCCGATAAGACCTATTTTGGAAATACCATTTTATAATTTGAATTTTCTCACGAACTTCGTTAACATCCATTATTTTACTTAAAAATAAATTTTACACGAGAACTGTCGCGAGAATCTATGTATTCGTTTTGGCTATTAAAACACGAATAAATACAAATTATGAAACATTCTTATCACATATCTACAGTAGAACAGAAACATTCTTATCACATAAGATCTAAAAGTAGGCTATTTTTATTTTATCGCATTTTTTCGCCTACTTTTTATCCGGCGGACGGGTATACGCTAATTCGTCCGGTTCTGCCTATGTTACTACGGTGGTCCGGTCTGCCATATTATGATAACAACTAATACTATGTGACGGTGTTGTTTACCCGTGAGCAATGGGTTGTAGATTCAGGAAACAAAAAGGTCTGTATAAAACCAGCTGTTATATTACTACTTTTACCCTTAATGGTACAAAGTTAACCGGATCAGCTAATAAATAAATAACATTCAATATAATGCGGATTATATCTGTATTATCGAATACGTGTTTTTTTTTCAGTAAGTATTGGTCTATCATAAACCGTAATATTATGATACAATTTATGCTGTGGTTTTTTCGTTTTATTCTATACAAATATGTCTTTTTTTAAAACACCGAACACATTTTATCGTGTAAAAAGTACTCTCCCTCTAATTTTCCTAAAATTAAAAACGGGAAAGTTATTAGTTCGGAGGAAAATTGACCTTTCAGCGCCCGTTTTCAATTTTCTAGCTGTATTTTCCTCTCGGCGACGCGACGCGACGGTATGAAAAGCCGAGGTGACGTTGACACATATAATTTTCACGCCCTCAAATAAATTGAACCGTATGAATAATACATCCCGGTCCGTGGCTATATGAATAATTTATTTTATGAGAAAAGTCCGAATATCGGAGCAAATGACTTAGTTCTAAGTCGGACGCCCCTTCGTCAATATTTTATTTCTTTTTTCTCTAAGAATTTTCCATGTTCTTGTATAATATATCTATCGGGTTAGATAATAGGTTGTGGAAATAGGAGATATTTATTATAATATCGATATTGGGAAATAAATTATACAGGTCTACAAAAAACATTTCTTTTTGGAGCTGGTATATCCATGTTATAATTTGGCTAACTAATCCCCAAGAAGTCATGTAGAAGAGTAAAAACAGTGAAATTGTGTGGAGGTTCATAACTATAGATATTTACTAAAAATAGTTATGTTCTAAGGGCTGGCAAAGGTTAGTTTTGGGTCGAGATTTCCGTAAGTAAGAAGAGTACAATCCGTTTATAATGTACCTACTGAACAAAGAGAGAACAGTAAACACGTTGCCAAACGTATGAAATAAACCGAGAAACTGTGCACATTGCTAAGAGACGTGGAAGGGGATATAGCAGATTTGTCGCGGTCGACCGTTCGACCCAATCAGTACCTCTTTCAGTACTAAAAATTCTAGGGGAAGGTGTACGTCATGCGTTCAGCTTCTAAATCGTGAATTACTATTACGTCTCGTGATACTTTATTTATTATTTATTAACGAGCCGTTGTAATTTTCCCTATAGCTTGAAAATTTTTAAGTGCAAGTTAGAAACACTTGGATTTTTGGCAAAAATAAGTGGAATTGAGTTGGTGTTCGACAGTGGTCGCGCTATTAGAACACTGAATTCAAAAATGGATATCTCGAAATTCAACAGAAATTAATTGATTGTAGTTTTTTTAAAAGCTTTCTTAATATTTCTGCTATATTTTCTTCGCATACAGTATCTGAAAATTTTTATAAATAAAAAAGATACACGATTGCTGAAAATTGCTATGCACTAAAAAAATGGATGGGTTTCTTAACATTTTTGAATGAAAAAAATAAGCCTATCGAATCTTTCTTATTTAAACAGCTTGTAAAAGATCCGATCTTCAAAATAAAAAAAAGTTTCAATATCTAAAGTGGTTCTTGGGTTATGGCGTGTTATGAGTTAAAAAGTTGAGTTTTTATATTATCGCGATTACTGACATTTTCTCGTTCTAAAAAAATGGACCCCATAACGATATCCTTATAATTCCATTTCAGATGCTCAGAAACATATTTAATATCTCATATCTTTTCGAAAAAAAAAAGTATTTTAAAAATAAGCGGTTTGCGATCGTGATTTACTTTACTTGATTAGGGACGGCGTATCGGAGAAATGTGACAACGCCGTAAAAGCACACTGTCACATTTCTCTCACTCCGACTTAGTAAAATCTCTTAATCCCTTTCCACATATGTAAATACCGACCCAAAAGTAACAGTTGCCAGCACGGTATTTAATGGTAACTGTGTTGTAAACTTTCATTCCTGAAGCTATGCCTTACAAAAAAAAGAGATATTAACTTATATTAACTAAAAAAATTACCTAAAATTGATTCTTTTTTGTTTTTTTTTCGTAATTAGAGTTACGAAAAGAAACATATTTCAAAACGTCAAAGGATTATGAAAAGTGTCAGTTTAATTGTCAAAATTGGAAATTTTTTTATCATATTATTTTATTTTTTGCCATTGTGAAAATTTTCTTTAAAATAAGAAGGCTGGAAATTACGAGGAATTAGTTCTAGACCTGTTAATGGGTTTTAAAAATCTTGGATGTAATATGAGTATCAAGGTACATTATCAGCACAGCCAAGTAGCAAGTCTCTAGTCTAAGTAGAAACGGGAATATCCTAAAGCCTGGCCTAAAATCTGACAAGGTCAAAGTGTACTTTTATGCTGTTTAGATGGTATCAGATGTGAGTTGTATGTATCAAAGTAGAGTTGGATGGCTTCGTAACATCCAAGTAAATCAGAAGCCAGCCTACTTACTTTGATGCAACTTTGATGTTAAAACGCTTTCCAACTAGACTTTTATTAAAAAGTCAATACTATACAAGCAGCGATCAAGTGAGAAGCGCGCAGCATTATTATAAGTACAGTTATATGGCAGCATCCAATTGTCTCCAAAAAATCCTATATGGGTATTTCGCCACTGCAAGAAAATCTACAAAATAAAATAGTTATTTTTTGTAAACACTTCTGCGTTAACCCAAACGGAAAATACTTGTCAGAAGTTAGGTTTACAGATATACAAATTTGCCTAACGAATAAAAAAATGCTTAACGTTTCGGAAAGTTTATCTGTTTCCGTCGTCGGAAGCAAAAAAAATACAAAGAATAAAGGAAAAAACTATTTAATATATTTAAATTCAACTATTCGAGAACACTTTAGTTTTTTAAAACAGATACGTCTACAAAAACAGGCGACGTTCTGTTAAAATGACATTATATCCCCAAGTTAAACTTCAAAATTAACACAATTACTACCTAATAACAATTACTTAATAAGGTAAAACCATCTTAAAATTAAAGAACAATAAAGATTATTTAAGAAAGGTAGATTTTCACAAATCTAAGATTTGTCAGCATTCATGGGACACAGGGCACAGAATAAATTTTAATAACGCCAAAATTATAATGAAAGAAGCGATAGCCTTTAAAAGAACAATAAAAGAGTCTTTTTTAATACAATTTAATAAAAATAAATGTATTGCTCATGCATTTGTACATGTTAGTAATGTATGGCAATCGCTTCTTTGATGTTAAAGAACATAACATAAATAAACATAACATTAAAAATAATCATACAGAATGTTTGGGGCTTTTTGGTTTTACCTTATTAAGTTAATTGTTATAAGGTAGTAATTGTTAATTTTGAAGTTTAACTTGATATAATGTCATTTTAACAGAACGTCAACGGTTTTTGTAGACGTATCTTTTTTAAAAAACAAAAGTGTTCTCGAATAGTTGAATTTAAATATCTTAAATAGTTTTTTTCTTTATTTTTTTTTGCATCCGACGACGGAAAGAGATAAACTTTCCGAAACGTTAAGCATTTTTTGTTCGTTAGGCAAATTTGTATATCTGTAAACCTAATTTCTGACAAGTAGTTTCGGTTTGGGTTAACGCAGAAGTGTTTACAAAAAATAAGTATTTTATTTTGTAGATTTTCTTGCAATACACATATAGGATTTTTTGGAGAGATGAATCTGCCACATCGGTATAGACATTTTTTTGCTATCCAATTGTGCTTCGTCCAAGTAACTTTGATCATGTAATCCCCGATTTTTGGGACCACTATCGTAGAAAATCTAAAAAATTAGCTTTTAACCTGTAGAATAACCTCATAAATCGTTTTAAAATTGTTTTATTTTCGTTTTTTATTATATTTGCAATTTGTCGAAAACTACCGCAAAAAAAGTAAGAATAATGGTAGAATAAGGGTTTTAATATACTTAAAATCTGTTTTAGTTTTGGCGGCACTAAAATAATTATTGTAAACCTTCATTTTTGTGCTAAACGTAAAAATATTATAGTAATAATATCCTGTGTAAAGGTTTTATATAAATCTAAGTATAGCCTCTATTTAAGGAACACAATATTTGATCCATTCTCTTCTAGCACGATCCCGAACAATGCACACCTGGCGGTGAAGACGGCAACTTCATCATGTTCGCCCGCGCCACGTCGGGAGATAAGAAGAACAACAACAAGTTCAGCCCGTGCAGCCTCAAAAGCATCAACCCCGTCCTCAACTACAAAGCCAGGAGCGCCAAAGGCTGCTTCACAGGTATTTCTATTATGGGACCGAATTTATTAACGGGCATAGTATAAAAGGGAAAATGGCATTGTTCATCATGAATTAACGGAGATGCTTAGGCGGATAGTTTTGAATCCTGATGAATTTAAGTTGATATAGAGCATTTTACACAATCCTGCAAAATCCTTAAGAGTATTTTGGGATTTAAATTGGATACAAAACTGAAATGTTTTAGATTAATCTCATTAAGGATAGTCCTAAGTGTATTTTCTTTCGAAAATAGTTTCCATTTTCTAGCAATTTTTATTATTTTAAATAGAACTGCCTATACCGGGTGGGTCTCAAATATAACTATAACTGTTTTATTTTTGCAGATAAAATAACGAGACTTGGTACGTTAGTATATGACATAAATCAGGATTGATTGACGTATTCTATTTTTTTGGTTACTGCTTGTTTCACCGGAAATGACTACAACTTTTGATTTTTAAATGGCACCCTCGGTATTTTTTACTTTATTCAATAGAAAATGTCATTCTAAATAGAATGACATATCATATGTCAACTTTTGACATTCTTGCTTAATAAAAAAATTGTATTTTAAATTTCAATCTAGAGTGTCATGGCTATGTTAAAAACACTAATTCTTAATCAAGGAGCCTTGGAAAAATAGATTGGATCGTCTAATGTTTTTAGTGTCATCCTGGTCAGTTAGAAAATGCTCAAATCATATTTTTAATCATATCTCAATTTTTTTCAAATGGAACGAGGATGGCTCATTAGCATATTTGGAAAAAGCATTTTTTTATGAATAATTTGATAACACATCCTTGGTATTTCGAGTCAAATTTTCGTTACGAACCGCAAGTTATAATTTCAAATAAACCATATGCGGAAATGTCAAAAGTTGACATATGATATGTCATTTTATTCAGATTGATACACAAAACATCCCCCTTTAGAACTTTTTCTTTAATGGCCATAAGCGGGAGTAAAAGACCAACCGCCCGAACAAACACTAGAGGCGCCACTGGTCATCAAATGGTGTAAAAAGTGCGAAAATGTAATCATCTAATTTTGACACAAGGGGTCGCGCTTAACTTTTTCAATTTTAATTCAATATTGATTGTTTTCAAACTATATTATTAGACTTTGTTGTATTTTGTGAATGTATAAATGTTTTCTTAGTATAAAGTTGCATTATAGTAATTTAAATTATAATACATACATATTTAAGTTTCAAATATTATGACATATATGTCAGTTGCCGTCTAAAATGTCATCTTGAAAACAAAAAGTTAGTTATTGTCAGAAATAGTTAAAATCATGTTAAAATATTAAAATTTACAAGTTATAATTAGATATTTTATATTATTTCAAAAACAAAAACATAATGGTACCGTGTAATGTTGATATGCAGGTCCAAAACAAAAAGTGCCGTTATATTTTTCAGTTTTCGTTGTCAGCCGCGGAAGTTTCAGTGATTTTAGTGTTGTCGGATATTTTTATTTGTGAAATAGAAATAATGCGTTTGGATTGCAAAACTAAAAGTGGAAGTTTTATTGCAATGTAAGTAAGCGTTTGTCCATTTTATATTTTACTTTTTTCATACCAACGACAAATATACATATATTGAAATTTTATAATTCGTTTTATTTAAAAAATCTTGGAAAACAAGCTTGTAATCCTGTAATTGACATAATTGTTATGTAATATTCCATTTAAATGTAATATATTACTTTACAATTAAAAAAATGAAAACTTAAAAAATATATTATAAATATATACAGGTATTAATTGAAATTTTTTGAGTGCGAACAAACACGAGAGGCGCTTTATTATTTACTTTCATTTGTTAACATGACAGACGAAGTTCTAAAGGGGGATGTTTTGTGGACTGATATTTTCTATCGAATTAAGTAAAAAAAATACCGAGGATGCAATTTAAAAATCAAAAGTTGTAGTAATTTCCGGTGAAATAAGAAGTGACCGAAAACAATTGAATAAGTCAATCAGTCCTAATTTATGTCATATACTAACATACCAAATTTGTTTTTTTATATCTGAAAAAATAAAAAAGTTATAGGGGTGAACCACTTTTGAGACGCACCCGGTATATTATTCACCAAATGGTTCTAAAACAGAGAAAGAAATGCGAGCAAAAAAATCGATGTTGTCAAGTTTAACAATACAAAATTGCTAGATATTGCCCTATTATAAATGTAATGGATTTTCAGTTCATTTCAGCATACATAATGATATATGCTAAGGATTTTAAATTAGTTCTTGTTGTTAGAAGTATATTTATTTACCTGTTTTTTTTTGTCATTCAGCCTATTCTAAAAGGTAAATATTTCCTAAAGATATTATCCGTTTCGGGAAAGCCGGTAACGCTGAGAAATTTTATCATGTCAACCCCGATTCAACTAATCTGATTGGTGGATATTTTCGCACGTTTTGTTGCCAGGTGATAGTCCTGCGCATAACATTTTCTTATTAGCCAGTGCTATACCTAATTTTATGTCCCACCCTGGAAATCGTGGAAATATTGACTAGTATTGAAATATCCATTGGCGGTGTTATTGTATTGTATTATATACCTTTATCTTGAATAGTGCATAACAAATAGTATATTTAGAAAAGCGCTCAACTAAATGTAGCTACACTTAAAATAAAATAATATTATAGAAATTCCTAATATATTTTTATAAAACACCGCACGCCCCTGGATATTTAATGAATGAAATCAGCCATATTTTTAGAAAACTGCGTTTCCTATAGAAATGAGCCAAGAACTCGCAAACTGCGATTCAGTCGCAGAGATTTTAAAATCGCAATCACAACCTGCGATTGGCTCTCATAGGAAACTGCGATTGCGATTTGCTGTGATTGTGATTTTGTAAACTGGGACCGTGATTTCTATTTGCGAGTTTGAATTTTTAGGAGTTGCGATTTGCGATATTGGTACGAATGTAATTTTGCGGTCTATTGAAGTATTTTATAGTAAACTGCAATTGAATTTTCTCTCTGATATTATTTATTTATAGAGAAGGTATTATTTTCTAGGGCCACGATCAATAATATACCGGGTGTTTCTCAAGAGTGGTTCACTGCTATAACTTTTTTATTTTTTTTTGATAATAAAATGAGATTTGGTATGTTAGTATATGACACAAATTAAGACTGATTGACGTATTCAATTGCTTTCAGTTACTTCCTGTTTCACCGGAAATGACTACAACTTTTGGTTTTTAAATGACGCCCTCGATATTTTTTTACTTTATTCGATAGAAAATGACACTTTGAATAGAATGGCATATAATGTGGCAACTTTTGACATTTTCGGTTACAAAAATCGTATTTTAAATTTCAATCTAGAATGTCATGGCTGTGTTAAAAACACTAATTTTAATCAAGATGCCTTGGAAAAATAGATTTTGATCGTCTACTGATTTTCGCATCTTGTCCTGGCCAGTTCAAAGATGCCCAAATCGTATTTTTAATAATATCTCAATTTTTTCAAATGGAATAAGGATGGCTCATTCGCATATTTGGGAAAAGCTTTTTCTACGAATAATTTGGTACCACACACTTGGTGTCTTGTATCAAATTGTCGTTATGAAGCGCATGTTACAGTGTCGAATAAACCATATGCGAAAATGTCGAAAGTTGACATGTGATATGTCATTCTATTCAGAGTGTCATTTTCTACCGAATAAAGTAAAAAAATAGCGAGGGTGCGATTTAAAAATCAAAAGTTGCAGTCATTTCCGGTGAAACCGGAAGTGACCGAAAACAATTGAATATGTCAATCAATCCTAATTTATGTCACATGCTAACATACAAAATCTCGTTGTTTAATCTGAAAAAAAGCCACTTTTGAGACGCACCCGGTATACAATGAGATATTTTTGTTTCTGAAATACAACCGGCTTCTAATTTTAGTTTGGTCGTCCGGTACATCGTTTTAATTAAAATTTCCCATTTCATTCCATTCACCTCTTGTCGTAATTTTAATTTTTCCCTTTTGTTTTATTTTTTGTTTCGTCGCCTCCGTCTGGTACTTGCCGCCGCGGTAAAAACCAAATTGGAGAAAATTTCACCGAACTTTATCACAAAGAACATTTAAATTAAGTAAACTTAGAAACAGGATCAAAATTTAATTAGAAATCTTCCAGTTGAATAGACCGATAAAATGGATAAGATTCCAGTTTTTTTTCTGAACTGGATTAAGAAGAAAGTCTGGAAAAATGAGACAAGAAAATGTTTAATAAAGAGACTGGAAGATGTTTTAATTCGTTTGTATGAGTTGTTTCTGAAGGTTTTACATTTTAATAATTTTAAACCAAAATATTAGTTAAACGTTAGTATTTTTTTTCTTATTATTGGACAAAAGTTTGTCCAAAAAAGGGATAAATAATCTACAAATCGATATCTGCCGTGGCTCGTTGGACAAACATTAACTCTAAATATTTTCCATCAAAACAATTTGATTTATTTAAATATTTATATTCTCTAATCTTTCAGAAAGTAAAAATACGATTTTATAGTAGAATGGAAGTTCATAATTATATTATCTGTCATAATTCATAAATGTATGATGGACCTTTTACTTAATAACTTAATGTTTATTTTTCGTGATTTATAGAACCTAAAGAAGCGATATGTGGCAACGGTGTCGTAGAAGAAGGTGAAGAATGCGACTGTGGTTGGGAGGAGGATTGCAGAGACCAGTGCTGCTTCCCCATGAGGAGGTATCCTCCAGTAGACGAACCTCCCTGTAGACTAACACCCAGAAGCCTTTGTAGTCCCTCACAAGTAAGTAAATGCTTAAGCAATATACCAATACCTTTCTAGTTAGCGTATCTCAAAAATGTATTTCTTCTATTTTGTAGCTCATTTTTTTAAATTTTGTTAAACTTTATTACGACAGTCATATATAAAGTAAGAGTACTCTCGAATTTATGAAGTTATGAATTTTAATTTGGTAATGAAAACTTATAGTATCTGTCCAAATCCATTTTTCAAGAATAAAATACCCTGTCGTCGTGATGCCTAACTAATTTAAACAACAAAATTACGCAATAATACTGCACTACTAGTGGTGATTACCTGTTACTCTAATTGCACTAGTGATATTTGATTAAACTAGTAAGTAAATATATCCTATGAACAAAAAAGCCATAAAAAGCTTCTCTTAAGGCTACTTCCTATAATATCATAATTATATTTTTATTCTTTGATATTACTTTCATAAATTAAATATGGAATCAATGTAATAAAAATTTAATTTTCCAGTTTTTAAATCTATTAAAAGTATTCCACAAAATAAGTATAGAAATGCAATAGTAACGTTACATTATTTACCTCAAAATATTTGCGTAAATCTTCTGTTTATACGACAATGAAACTACAGCCCTAACGTAAGTTTTTTGCGTTAGGTCTCAAAAGATACGTATACAGTTTGTGCCGTGTGCTTTAACTGTCTATTATTATTGATACCTTACCTTCAATTGTAGGGTCCTTGCTGTACGTCGGATTGTCAAGTCAAATTCGGCGACAAATGCAGAGATGACAACGGTTGCCGTGACGAAAGCTTCTGCAATGGAAGAGAACCTCAATGTCCTCCGTCAATTAACAAACCCAACAAGACCATCTGCAATAAAGAATTCGTCTGTTTTATGGGGGTAAGTAATAAATAGTGATTTATACAAATGTATTTTGAGCATTACAGTTGAGGGTTGGAACCTTTGCGTTTAAAGAATCTGGGTGTTAAAAGAGAAAAATAAAACACTAGTTCACACCACACTAAACCAAAACATTTTACTTTTAAACACTGGACGTGCGTTTCTCTAATCATGTTAGCTACATCAGCAGATGATTAGAATTTTTAATTTAGTTTTAATCATCTGCTGATATATGTGGTGAATTAGTGTTTTATTTCGCTGTATTTTGAGCCGAAGATTGAGCAAGTTATGAATTATAGATAGAAAATTCATCAAAATAAATAGCTGTTAGAGTTAGAAATGCCTTATTGAATAATGGAGTGAAAAAAATGTAAACAGTTTCTCTATGAAAAAATGCAATTGAATTGCGTTTTGTATAACTATTTCTTTCTTCGTCCTGCATTGAAACATAGTATTTTCTCCTGTTAATTAGTATTATTCTTACGATTTTCAGGAATGTACTGGTTCAATTTGCCTTGCTTACGGTTTGGAATCTTGCCAGTGCATACCGCAAAAAGGTGACTTAAAAACGAAAGCTTGCGAACTATGTTGCAAGCTGCCTGGCGACAATCAGCCCTGCTTGTCAAGTTTTGATTGGAACGATATGCCCTACGATGTTCCTGATATGTATTCTAAACCTGGTAAGAGGTTATAGTTTTTCTTATATAAATTTTCTTTGAAAGTCTTGAAGTATAATTAAAAGTTATTTTTCGAGGCTTTTTATCAGTGAATTTAAGTAGTAGCATCATATTATTCCAGGAACACCATGTAACGATTATTCTGGTTACTGTGATGTGTTTCAAATGTGCAGAGAAGTTGATCCTTCTGGACCCTTGGCTACCTTAAGAAAATTACTGCTGAGTGAAGAAAGCATAGCAAGTTTCAAAAAATGGATCATTGAGTATTGGTATGTTGTTGGGTTCATACTGTCTGCTGTTATTGCATTATTGGTAAGTAGATAATTTTAATATTATTAAGTTTTTGAAAACAAAAACACAACACTTTTGCAAGATTAGAATAAAACATAAAAGAAATGACATTCATGTACACAGAAATTATGACAAAATTATGATTATTTCCACAGTTGTCTCGAACTATATTAAGTTGGTGTAGTTAAAAAGTTTTATTTCGGTTACCAACTTCTTTCCAGTATACAAAGAGCAAGTAGCTTACCAAGTAGATCTTTTTACCTAACATTTTATTATATTTCTATAGCTTCGAATTAAATATTTTAGAAATATAATTTAACTAGTTGACATTCTTAACTTGTAAAAAAATCCTATTATAATCTTCGTAGTTACTAAGAAAAAAATAAAATTATGATAGAATGTTTTTGAAACTTTATTTAAAGAATATATTTTAATATATTATTTTTTGTCTTAGGTTAAAATAATAATTATTATAAGACAGTATAATAGTCGTAAGTTGAAAATAATTTAATAAAAAATAAATGTAATCTGCTAGAATAATTTTCCAAAAAAGCATTAAGACTATTACATAAGGTTGTAGAATAAGCATAACAGAGTAAAATCCATGCATATAGACTTTTTTAGAATCATGTATAACACCTGTTACCTTAATCCATTTTCTACACAATTCATTATTAAATAAAGATTCGTTATTGGGACACAATACAGGATGTTTCTTAAATAAGTCTAAATATTTATATCTTAGTTATTTTGACTTGAGAAACGTCTTTATATACAGGGGTTTTTATTTTATTTAGTAACTTATTTAGGAAACACCTTGTATAATACCTATGCAGTAAAGTTTACATTTAGACTTTTCGGTATATTATGGATAGTGCCAGCTAGAGCCTTGTATTTCTAACTCATATTGTCTGGTACCTATATAAAAAATAATTTTGATCAATTTTCAGATTCTTAGTACAAAATACCTAGGCAAGAAACCCAATTTCAAATTGAAATCCGTTACAATCATGCACAAACAAACCACTGAAGCTGTACGATTACCAGATAACCAAGAAGGCATGATAGTCCATCAAGGGGTCAGGTCCAAGGTACCCTTCAAAAAACGAGTTAGAGACGGCAAAATCAAGAAGAAAAGAAAAGCGGGTACTACAAAAAATAGCAAAAACATTATTGGAAGCAATAAAACCAATGCAGTAGCCAATGTAAATAACAATAACAAAGAAAACGTATCGACGAATAACAATTTGAACAGTCCGAAGAAGAGTTCCCCTAGGAAAAAGAAGAGGATGAGTGCGGTGGTAGGAATAGAAGAGAATGGAAGGAAGAAAGATGTTTTAGAAGTGCCTCACAGGTTAGTAATATCACAGATTAGGTATCCTATAAGTATACAGATAAAAATCTTGTCCCTAATTCGTGGTACCAAAATTGTTTTTTATGACGATGTGCAAACGAGTAAAATTTCATGTGCGCAAAAATAAACTCGCGTAAAATAACAATAAACAGCGTAATAGAGAGATATCGCTAAACCGAATAGCGTGCATGGACGTTAATAAGGCCAGGTGTTATTTCCTTTACGTGAGGTGGTATTAACTCTCTTCACTTATAGTTATCGGATCGGAAAGAATTTAAACTTTGAAATTGTTTTGTTTACTAGGTATTTTAAAACTAAAGGGCTAAAGTGCTTATTTCCAATGCTTTATTGTTCAACGTCTGCCTAAGCCTCTTTATAGGTTCTTTAATATTGGAAGAGGTGGAATCCATATTTTGGGCCATATTTATTTAATTAAAACTAATCCCAGCTACTTAAATATCAAATTACCTAATAAAATTAAAGTAATAATTCAAAATAATTCAAACATAACCTAAAATAAAAGATCTCACCGGCCGGCCCCGGTTGTCAAATACCCGCATATGCCCATTTAAGCAATTTTTAAACGATATTTAGAAATAGCGCATGGTGTAATGGATCCGCAAATTACGTCAGGCGGTAACGTTATTGGCGGGTGTTGCGTTAAAAATTGACTCGCGCATATCGTAACCATGATAAGGTACGCGTAAATACTACATGACGCTATTCGGTTTTCCGATATCTCTCTAATAACTGTGCCGGTCAGGCGCTGTGCACAATTTTACAGGCCATAAGTGGGCGTGCTATGTGCGCAAACTAGTAACATAACTAGTGCCCGATTCCGAAAATTGGAACCACGAAAAACAATAAAGAAAAAACAAAGTTTATAATATACAGATTATCTGTGGTAATATTATCAATATCATTACGGATTCCATAGATTCTCATATCTAAACAAGATAAAGCTTCATTCACAACTTCGCAATTAGTAGTTTCAATAATTAGCCTATAAGTTTGTTCCTTTAATTTCAATGTAAGTATTCAGAACGTCAAAATTAGTTGTAGACATTTTCAATTAGTAGAAAAAGTTATGAAACTTTTAACTTTACCACTAATTATACCTCAAAATTTGCGAAAAATGTCATTTTGGCCTTTAATTATCTTCCGTCAAGAGAAATTGTAGTTAGAAATTAAAAGTTGATTGATTTATGAGCTAAATATTAGGCTTTCTCTACGAATACAACTGACTAACACAAGCTGTTGTTAGGATATTCTATTAATTTTAATTGTGTTTTTTAAACACTGTGAATGATCGTAAACTAAAATGTGTAATTAAAACCACTAATTGCGAGGTTCTGAATGAAGCTTAACAAAAGTTATTAAAAAAATAGTCCAATGATCAAATTAAAAAAATTGGTTTCAATAAAATTCTATCCTAAACATATAGCGGTTGTTTTTCAAAACTGGCTCAACTCTACAACTTTTTTATCTTTTCAGATAAATAAACGAGATTTGGTGTGTTAGTATGACATAAATCAGGGATTTATTGACGTATTCAATTAGTTTCAGTCACTGCCAGCCTGTTTCATCGGAAATTACTACAATTTTTTATTTTTAAATGGTACCCTCAGTGTTTTTTAACTTTATTTGATAGGAATTGACATACTGAACGGAATGAAATGTCATATGTCAAGTGTTGACATTTTCGATTTAAAATAGTATTTTAAATTTCAATCTACAGTATGTCCCCGGATTGTCTTTACAAGAGGAAACATTTTTTATTATTGGTATTTTGAGAAAAATGCATTCTTCATAAGAATTTTTGCTTGTTCAAAAATCGTTAATCCAGTTTATACTTTTCCAAATTTCCATACCGTTACAGAGAAAATTAAGAAAAACATAAAAATATAGTTTAATTTTTTTTAAGACCTAAAAATCAAAACGCGTTTCAACAATCCGGGGACATACTGTAGAGTGCCACGACACTAAATTTAACGATAATTTGAATCGATATACCAAGTATTTGGTACCAAATTATTCCTTTAAGAAATTCTTTTTCCAAATATGCTAATGAGCCATACTTGTTTCATTTGAAAAAAAAATGAGTTATGATTAAAAATACGATTTGGGCATCTTTTAACTGGCCAAAAAAAGACACGAAAAGATTAGACACAACACATTAGATGATCCAATCTATTTTTTCAAGGCTCATTGATTAAAAATTAGAGTAAACGCCACGAATGTTTGGCAGTGATTCATCGCTTGATGAAGTTAGAATCGACACGTGCGCTATCATTTTTTACATTAAAAACGTAAATTTTTACCGCAGACGTAAGTTTTTAAAGGCTCGGTCTAATCATCTGCCTGCGTTCCTCCTACTTATTCTAAAATGTTAGCGTGATTGACAAAGACGATACTATATCGCGTTTCTTTGATTGATTCGTTTTTGTGCGTCAGTCCATTGGTGTGCTTGCAGTGCGGCCAATGGGGCATTCCATTTTATATTTATAACCAAATATATGTTTTGACAAGACTTTGACAGTTAAAACAACAAATTACAATAGATTATATATTGATTATTATATGACTTGAAACACCACGGCACTGGAATTAAGTTTTATGCGACCTTGAACAGATTAGTTCACATGGTAGCGACCGATGAATCACTCCCAAACATTCGTGGCGTTTACTATAGTGGTTTTAACACAGCCATGGCACTCTGGATTAAAATTTAAAATGATATTTCTTTTTAATTGAATATGTCAAAAGTTGTTATATGATATCGTCCTATTGCTGCCAAAAGTCACTAACTAACATTTTTCCGAACAACCAAATTCAATCACTAACTATGTTTTGAAGCGGAGAATCGATTACAAAAGTCATTAACTACGATTTCTGGCTATTTATGTTTTATTTTAATACTGAATAGTTACTAATTATAACATTTTTATGCAATGCAATTCATCTTTAGACGCATTTTTCTCGGAAGTAATAAAAAGTAAGTTAGTGACTTTTGGCAGCAATGGGACGATATGCTATTCTATTCAGAGTGTAATTTTCTAACAAGTAAAGCAATAAAGTACTCAGTGTACCATTTAAAAATCAAAAGTTGTAGTAACTTCCGGTGAAACAGGAAGTGACAATCCCGATTTATATCATATACTAACTAAAAAATAAAAAAGGATATAGAGGTGAGCTCCTTATGAAAAACACTTGGTATAATTTGACATAAATTCACAAAATTTAATATGCGAAAAAATCGCCCGTGTCTTTTTGAATGGTTGGGTATTTTTGTACTACTTATAATAACTGTTGCATATAATATTTTTTTTACAGCAAAGTGAAAAAACTGCCCACCAAAACGAAAAAGAAGAAGAAAAAGGAAATCATCGACTACAGTTCTATTCAGCCTGACATTGATGGAAAGAACGATAACATCACCCCTGTAGTCCACACTACCATCACCACAGAAACCACCGACCCAGTGGGCAAAGTCCATCACTGGCTGAAGAACCAGTACAACCTTCCCAAATCTAAAAGCACACCTGTTGGACTCACTGGAGGTTCCAGAAGTCCCCACAAGAAAACCACTGTAGTCCGTTCACAAGTTAGACCAGACAAAAGTAAATCCCGTAGCGTAGCGAACATTCCAAACGAAAGGGACAAGGTTCGAGTCCAAGTAGTGTACAAACCTCCCTTCAAATTCAGCTTGAAACTGCGCAAACCGGAAAAAACTAGCGTCGTGGTAGAACCGGCCAAGAAATCAACTGCGCGCGCAGCAATACTGGTGCAGAGCAGCGACGTTCCTAAGACTACGAACGACAGAGTTTCTACTGCGCAGCCGAAGACGAATTCTTCTGCACAGTCGGGCGCTGTTGCCGCGGCGCCGCCTGCGCCTTACGATACGATAGATTTGGCAACGGCGGACATCGACTCGAACATACATACCGTCCAGTCGGATTTAGAGGTTTTGTTGTCGGAAAACGAGTACGTCAGCGTGGATGGGTAGGAAGGATTTAGGTTTGAAAATTTCAGGAGGTATTTCTACGAGTATATAAAGATTTTTTAAAGTTACTTAACAGTAATAATGGGCATCTCTAAAACCTTTAAACAGTCTGTATATGAAATACCGTATGATCGGATAAAAACGGCGTCTAGTTGACTTGGAAATGACGATCGTTGACATTCTACATATAAATTTAGACACAAGTTCACAGCAATCGTCATTTCCAAGCCAGTTCTGATGCTGTTTTATTGATAGTATGGTATTTTCCTTTTTACGGAGATTTATGATTTATGGAGTGCATTTATGAATAGGTAACTAATCAAAGTAACTGAAAAAAATATTTCATTTTTAAAAGTTAAATTAAAAAAAATATATACTCTATTGTAGAAATATCTCCTATATTTGTAGTTTATCACAATAAATAACTGAAATAACAACATAGCCAAATTAAGCCAAAACGGTATTACAAGTCTAGAGAAAACATATTTTTGAGGCTGTGGAATTTTTTTGTTATTAAAAATATTATTTTCTCGTTTATCTTCTTTAAAAACGGCGGTCTTTGAAATGACAATCAATGATAATGCCGGTAAGGTATACATGTCGTTGCCATGCGTAAATTTATTTTAAAAAAATGGAAAATAGATCTGTGCCCAGAAACTTTTAATTATTTTCTAAACTTTTTAAATTTTTTATGTCAATTTTTAATGAAAATAAGACTTCGGTTAGAAAGAAATATTATTAATTGTCATTTTATAGGCCACTGTGACGCTGTTTTTTTTTCGATTATACAATCTTTAATCTTTTATTTGTTAATTCGAATAATTTTTGTATTTTTTAGAAACATTATTACTGTTCAAATTATTTTTATTAATCAATATTTTACTAATGTATTTATACCTATTAAAATAACTCCAGCAATCCTCTCTATATATAACTGACAATTATTATATTAATGTGATATATTACTCTAAACATTCCTCGAATACCTTAATGTTTTATTTTATACAGGGTGATTCTCTAAATTGGAATACATCTATTAACTCTCTGAATTAGCTCTATATTTAATATAAGAATATTTTATACAGCTTGTTTCAAACTTGAAATGAGGGGCTGAGTTCCAAAACTAGTTTTATCCATATTCGTTAATTTTCAATAATCGCAAAAAACGAACAGCAACTTAATTAGTCTAGGACAAATGCACGACTTTAACATGTAAATTATACAGGATAGAATGAGTTATGCCACAAAAATGATGCTGAATATTGTGCAGGGCTGCCAATACTAGACTAGACTATAGATACTTTTACCCAAAATTACCAAAAATGGATAAGACGAGTTTTGAAACTCAACCCCTCAAATATTTCGTCATATCTTAAATTTGAGACACTCAGTATAAAATTTTGTTACATTTAATTACATTAATTTTCCATTGTTAGAGTTCTCCGTTAATAATATTCATATTTATATTTTTTCAGTGTTTGGTATTAAAGCAATAATCTTTAGTTAATTATGATATTTCAAATTTTAAAAAAATAATTTTTTATATAAAATATTAATATCATACTGTAAGATTATTACAAAAGCGTAAGTAAATTGCTTTTTTTTGCTATTTTTTTATTTACGATTTTTCGATATTATATTCTTTATTGAGCATAGCATAGATACAGTATTTCACTCAGTGAAATAGGTGAACATAGAGCAGTCCTGACAACATTGGTTTGTTGTCAATTGTAACATCAACAAACCGGCGCAATATATAAACAAAATTCCAAAATCTATAAATATTTTAGAACTTCTCTATATTTACCTACTTCTCTGAGTTATCTCACATCACCAATTATTAATGAAAAGACTGTATTCATATAAAGTCAAAGCAACTATATGCAGAGAGTGTTCACGAATATTTTTGTCAAAAGATATCTCCATAAATATTTATCTTACAAAAATACTTAAATTATGAAATTTTCAAGTTTTATTTGAATTATAATAATATTATATTTTGTTAAATAACAGAAAAAAATCAGAACTGTCAAATTTTGACGTAAGCTGAATTTTCCTAAATATAATGCCTTTTATCTGATTCGTCAGTTGAAGAAACAAGTTTTTTCTGATTTTAAAAATAAAAAATGTTTATATGGATGTCTATAAGAAAAAACCCTAAAAGTTTGATAATTTAAACTTTTTTCTAAAATCAATATTTACACCTACATTGAATAAAATATACAGTGAACACTCTGTACACTACAAACAAAATTAATCAAAAAGAAATCTACGCCAAGAAATATTAACTGATGTAAAATTATTTTGTGAACTCCTTATATTACAGATTAATAAAAAAAACTGTGTACATAAAAATTATTCTTATATGCTAATATCTCTGGAAAAGAAATATACATACATAACAAGAGTTTTGTGTACTTATATACAGTGTGATTAAATGAAAAGGACATTACAGTAAGGGTGAAAAATACCATTTCTGTTCTAGCTTTATTATGTTTTTTACTTAAGTTTTTTTTATAGTGATAACTTAACTACAACTGAATATCTATCAGTGGTATCAGAACAAAAACAAGTACCATACGACAAAAAAAAACGGCATCACAGTAGCAATTCAAATGCTATTTCTATGCCTACTATGACGTTTTTTTCATTTAAACATACCTTAAGTAATTAAGTTTCCTATGAACAAAAGATAATGTTAAAAAAATGATTTTTAAGTAAAGTGAATTAAAAAATTGTCCCTCCTAATCATGGTAAAAAAAGAATAATAATGTCTTTTTTGGTGTATATATGTTGGTTCTTTTCTAGTGCCAAACGTGTGGGTGTTTGTGCTTTTTACAACCTTAGCGATATTCGAACAAAAAAACAAACAAAATATCTTGTATTTTTATATAAATAAACTTGAAAAAACGTTATAAAAAAAAACGTTAGTTGCTATTATTTTTGTGTAATGTTGTGTGGAAAAAATCGTATTTGTCTTTATATTTTTCTTTTTCATTTTCTTTGTTGGATATCTTTTACATTCCAAAAAGAAGAAAGAATCAGTCAATTTTAGCCGTACTTAATTTTGTTTATTTTTAGATTTTTCAACTATATTTTGTATATTTATGTCTAATATGTTTAATTTTTAATAAAAATTAATATGAAAAAAAAGTTGTTTCTCTTGATTTCTCAATGATACTGAAATTAATAATACTAGGAAATGATCAAAAGTTTCTTTGAAATGTTTAGTTATAGATTTCTATATTAAATTATAATTTTAAAAATTTTAAAGTTTGACTGTTCTTCGTTAGATGGCAGAGAACAGCATTATTATTTGAAACTCTGTATCCCACATACAGATTGTAGTATAAATATTCTATGTAAGATGGCGCTATTGAAAAACTAGTTTGAAAAAGCTGTACTATGTGGCGCTGTAAACAGTTAAGCGCTCTTAAAGAATGTTTTGAAATAACGCATCTTATTTCTTTAAACTATAGAGTTTTTTTTGTGCTTAATATATCGACTATATCGTCGTATCGAAAAAACGGCATCTAGTTGGCTTGGAAATGACAACCCATGACATTTTCCTAGTAATTTTACATACATATGTAAATATCTGATACCTTTTTTCGTTCTTATGATATATGGATAAGATCAAATCAAAAATGTTTAATACTATATATATAAAATGATTAAAGTCTATATTCTGTAATTTACAAATTATTTCAACTTGATCGTCAACGGGCCAGCTATGTCGAAACACCGGTTGTCGATAGATCACGGAAGTTAAGCGACGTTAGAAGATGCTAGTGGATGGACGGGTGACCGTCTGGAAACTCTGTCGTGTTGTTGTTCCATGGCAACAGTGTAAAATCTATTGACACACACCGCTCATTCACGCCGGTGATCGGATAAGATCGGATATCTCGTGAGCAAGAGTCGATTTAGGCACTAGCCAAGTCGATAGGCTATTGACAATGATATGGCCGATGACCGCAGTTCGCAGTCCTCCTAAATAAAGTAGGCTCCGTCCAGATTATTCTTGGAAGCAAAAAGGAGACGTTAACTTGAAATATTTTTACTTTTTAAACTTGATCAGTTTTTAATAGCAAAGATTCACAAAAAGCATTTGAGAGTAATAGTTACCAAAGAAGTAAAAAAATATACTGAATTTTTTTTTGGAACTTACAAAGTTTCTTAAAAATAGATTTCATGAATTTTATTTTAACTCATATGAGTGTACTATTACTATTTTTCTTTTCTATTTGTTACCTTCCTTTTTTACCTTTCCTTTTCTATTTTAACAAGCCTTTATTTCTTTCCACGCTTTCATTGTTTTATACTAGTTTATAAAAAAATTATAAAATCTTGATGAGTTACGAAATAAAATATGTTCCTGACATTATATTGACTTTAATTTAAAAAATTTACAAAATATGTCAGTAAGATGTACCATTGACTGTTCACACTTGATAACGGTACTTGATACATCTGAACGAAACGTTGTGTAAAGTTTTGAAAAGAAGACGACAATGTCAGTTCACGAAAATGTTTTATTTCATAATCTTTCATATGTTAATTTAAATTTACTCTATCTTTTTGTTTGCCCATTAATTTTTCTTTTTTGCATTTTTGTATATACCTTTTAATTTGCTATGCGTGTGTATTTTTTTAAATTAATAATTTGTTGCTCTATAATAATAAAATTGTTATTTATAAAACAAACGGTTACGCAACCGATACTGAATTTAAATTAAAAGCAATTACAACAAATTAAAAGAAACTAATAAAATCGGAGAAAGTTTTACGAGAATCAAGAGCTTTGGATATCTAATTATATACTAATGATAAGTTACAAACTTTATATTAATTACCTGCGTAATTACGTTATTACATCCATAGAAAGGTAATTTATAACATCTTTCATTAAAAACAACATGCACCTGAATTATGTAAAATATTTATTAAATTAGAGAAAGATTAAAAAGCATGACTATTTTTTTGTTCTACGTATTTTGAGATAAATTTACTAGAAAGTGAGTTATCAGTCGTGTAACTGGTGTGATACGTTCGGGAACGTTGTGAACGTTGGTCCTTGAAAAAACTAGCTGCGAGAGCGTTGAAGTCATGATTACTAAATCCCGCTTAAGATGGGCTGGTCACATATGCAGAATGCAAGAAATCCGCCTACCAAAATCTCTTCTTTACGGTGAGCTTGTAGACGGTAAGAGGATATTTTCCACGAAAATTTAAGGGGAGAAGCATACAGAATCAGTGGGAAGAAGCAACGCTAGTAGAATGCAATGGAGAAGAATTTTGTGAACTCAGTTAACGACAGTCAAAAAGTAAAGAGGCAATAAAGTAATGAGATTTTTGAATGTCCGAGTGCGGAAGAGAGATAACATCACGTATCGGGTTTTTCAGTCACAGAAAAGCTCATGAAAGAAAACACCTTGGGGAACCATCTTCTGATGCGTGTCAGAAGTACAGTACGTCTGCTGGACCTGTGTCTATGAAAGGAATGCGGACAAAAAACATTTAAATAAATAGCAATATATTTTATACGTCGACTTGACGAGTACGTCACCGCAAATCGCTCCGCCCACTTATTTTATTGGCTACTTGCAAATTTGTCGAATTTTTATTGATGGGACGCGTCGTCTAATTTTTTACGAAAAACATCGAGAGAATATAGTTTTCCCTTGGATACTCCGTAGCTATATACAGAACGGACAGACGTACTGTACTTTTAGCATTTCGAATGAAATTTTGATGGTAAAAGTTACTATAAATGATTCATATTTTAAAGCTAAAAAATGTCGACATATTTACCAGGGACGTGCATATGGGTTATCACTGAAATATTATTCTAAAAAAGCATGTACGCCACTGACTTTTTTCTCTTGTTAGCGAAATAGTGTAAGCAGTTTAATGCCACTTAAAAGTTGTCTCTTGATATTTTGTCGATTTCGGCCTCCTTGATGAGACGAACGCAATTTTATTAATTTGCCGTGATCTAAATCTAATAGGAACATTTAAAACATTTTAATATCATTAACTTGCGAAATCCATTATTAAAAAAAATAGAAGCCTTTGAAACGTGGTGCTACCGGAGAGTCCTTAAGATTTCTTGGATCGAACATACAAGCAACGAACAAGTTCTTGGGCAGCTAAACAAAGATCGGGAATTGTTAACCACCATCAAGGCCAGAAAGGTTAGCTAGGTACTTCAAACACATAATGCGTGGTTCCAAATATTATATTCCTCGTTGGACCATTCAAGGAAAAGTCGAAGGTAGAAGATGGGTAGGTCAAAAGAAACTGTCATGGCTCAGAAATATACGGAACTGGACCGGTCTGGGGATGGAGAGGCTGTTTCATGCAGCAGAAAATAGAGAACTGTTCCACGAAATCGTCATGGAGATCGCCAACGCCTGAAGACAGGCACGGTACCGCAAGAAGAAGAACTTGCGAAAGTTTTATTAAGTACTCATTGATTCCTCATCAAAAAATATGAAAAAAAGTTCCTATAGACATGGATATGGAAATGCATAGTTTTAGAGTTACAGGGTGTTAAAACTTTTAAGAATTAGGTTTTTTGTTATTACCTTAAGTACCATAATTTTTTTATTTAAAATTGATGTACGTTGGACTAATAGTAATAATATTTAATAATAAATCAGGTAAAATATATAATTTATTAATTTTATTTTTATTTGAATTTTATTAATTGTGATTAATAAACTTGCGTTTATCTCATCAAGGAGGCCGAATTCGACAAAATATCAAGAGATAACTTTTAATTGGCGTTAAACGGCCTACACAATTTTTATATCAAAAGAAAAAAGTCAGTGGCGTACAAGTTTTTTTTGAAAAATATTCCAGTGATAACCCATATGCACATCTCTGATGAATTTATTGACACTTTTTAAAAATCACTAAAAGTACTTAGAAGAAAATTATAATAAATCGAAAATATATTAAGACTTTAACACCCTGTAGCTACGAAACAAAGCAGAATTGGCTATAGAAAAGCGATAAAAATAATCTTGCATCTTTGTAGTCCGTATTATCTTATACTTTAGTATATCTTACAGTTTTTTTCTTTTTCTTTGAATACTATTTAACAAATCTTCAAAAGAAAAAAAATTGGCGCGCTATGCGTGTATCCTCCCCCCCACCCCTCCTGCGATTTTCCTAGAGCGCTCGCCGCCGGTCGGCCAATGAGAAAAGGTAAAACAAA